GCTGGGGTAGGGTTGCTCGCGGCTCAGCTTAGAGAACTGACAGCACTTGGAGACGACAGCACCTCAGGTGTCCAGGCTAGGAAAGTTTTCTGACCCAGTATTCTCCCTTCTCTTCACAAATCCTTAGCCTAATGGCAATCACAGATGACTGACTGTGACTGGGGAGGAAATTGTGCTGTAATCTCCTTTCCTTTGGACCTGGTACCCTTGGCAGAACTGAGACCTCCTGAGGACGCGTAGGCCTTTTGTACTTGCCTGTTCATTGATTGAGCCAGGCAGTGCCCGGGCTACGGATACATCGATGAATGAGCCATGCTGTCCCTTTAATAAGCACCCTTAGCTCTGAGCTGATTTTTGCAGCCGAAATGACTCCCCTCAGGTCCTACTGAAATGTCTCAACAACCTGTGGTTCTCAGAGAGCAGAAAGAATTGCCAAGGTACACATTGCTCAGGAGGGCTCAATTTGGGGCTGTAGATGGGCTGATTCAGAGACTTTATTTGAGGCTGAGGCTTGAAATCAGGATGGAGATTAGGATGGGAGTAGAATTGTGGCTAACATTGGGCCCGAGATAAGAGCTTGAGGCAGAATCTAGAGCCAAATGTGGCGCTAAATTCATGGCTGGAGTTGGGGCTGCCCAACCCAGTCTAGAGGTGTGTGGAGAGAGAGCCTGTATCAATCCTTGATCTCTACCCCAATCTCTCTCACCCTTTAGACGCCACCTAAAACCCCAAGTCCTGCCCCTGCCCCACCTGCCTTCTCCAACCTCCTTGTTTTCTCTCTCGTCGACCTGACTCTGCTCCAGAATGTGTCTCTTCCCTTTCTGCTTCTTTTGAATTCTCCCCACCCCCCACTTCCTCATTTTCACCATTTGGAAGAGGGGAGTTTTCCCAGCGGGGTCCGCTGGTACTTCTCCTCTGCCCCACACCCCCTTTCACTTCCTGCACCCGAATTCCCCACTATTGTTGGTGTTGCCCTTATTGTAACCCCGGGACCAGAGGAGCCTTTTTCTCCGCTCTTGCTCAGTTATGACTCAAGTTTCAGGCATCTGAGTTTCCTCTGGGGCCTGAATATTTGTTCATTTATTTTTATTTTTAATATATATTTTATTGATTTTTTACAGAGACAAAGGGAGAGAGATAGAGAGCTAGAAATGTCAATGAGAGAGAAACATCGACCAGCTGTCTCTTGCACACCCCCTACTGGGGATGTGCCCACAACCCAGGCACATGCCCCTGACCAGAATCGAACCCGGGACCCCTTAGTCCACAGACATACGCTCTACCACTGAACCAAACTGGTTTCTGCTATTTGCTCATTTTTAAAAAATATATATTTTTTTATTGATTTTTTTACAGAGAGGAAGAGAGAGGGATAGAGAGTTAGAAACATCCATGTGAGAGAAACATCGATCAGCTTCCTCTTGCACACCCCCTACTAGGGATGTGCCCGCAACCAAGGTACATGCTCCCCCCCCCCCCACCTCCTCCACTGGAAGTGAACCTGGGACCTTTCAGTCCACAGGCCGATGCTCTATCCACTGAGCCAAACCGGTTTTGGCTATTTGCTCATTATTTATTATATTTATTATTAATACCTCATCTACAGTGTATTTGAAAAGAATGCCTGTTCTGTAGGTAATGAATGCAGTGTATTAAATACAGCAATTGGATCATAATAGTACAACCTGGAGCTCAACACATCTGTATCCTTGGTGATTTTTTTTTTTTTTTGTCAGTTCAACCTGACATACATTCATTAGAGAGATGTATTGTAATCGCCTACTATAAATATAGATTTGTCTATTTGTTCTAGTACTTCCAGATCCAGGCAAGAGAGGATCTAACCCAAGAGAAAGGACCAGGAATTTCTCAGGATGAGTAGGAAGTTCCAAGATAACCGCTCTGCCACAGGCTTAGAGCTAGCTTCTCTGGCGGGGTCTGAGGACACAGGACTGGCTGTGGGACAGAGGGGTTGGGGGGAGGTAAGACATGGATTGACAGCGAGCCTAAGGAAGCTTGGACTGAAGGGCCTCTCTTGAACCCCTTCAAAGTCCCCAAGGGCCCAAGTGGTGTCATCACACAACCATAAGTTTTTGTAAATGATGAAAACAAAAGTTATTTTGACCACAATCGGTTCAGATGACCTCTGCCACTTTCCACTCCAACTCCCCCTTCTTCACACGCTCCTCTGTGTCAGGCGGCTTTTGTTCACCTGAGTACGAAGTTAGCTTGAGTGAGAAGGTTCCTATGTGGTCTACAGGCACGTCGTGTATTCTTAGGGTTGTCCCACCAGCTCAGGAATGGCTTTCAGGGGACCTTTTATCACCCGCGGTGCAGATTCCTTTAGGGTGACATGAAGGTGGCACACGCGCATGTCCTGAAGGACCTGACAGCAGTGACATAGAAGAATCCTCTGTGGACACTCACCTCCCAACACTTGTCACATGTAACCAATGAGCCTGCAGCCAAAAACTACAGGGAAAACAGAGTTTAGAGGCGTTTTGGGAGATTATTTGAAATACGATGTCATTTTTGGGGATGCTTATGGCAGTTTCAGCTTTTTAAATTTGTGAGTTTTTAACTTAAGTAAATATTAAATTTTATGCTTAATTTTTTATTCCTTTTTAAGGACGGCTCCCCAAAACTGTGTGCACTTCAAACTTCATAAAATTTCTATTCACCCCTGTGACTCTAGGAAAAAGGTGCAACTGAAATACCAATTCTGTGACTAGTTTGCATGAGTAGATAATTATATTACCAGGCTTTTTACAGGTGAGGAAGACTTTGCAATAGATTCAAAGAATATGGAGCAACCCTGACTGGCTTGGCTCAGTGGTTAGAGCAACGGCCTTCGAACTGAAAGGTCCCAGGTTCGATTTTGGTCAAGGGCATATACCTTGGTTGTGGGCACATCCCCGGTAGGGGGTGTGCAGGAGGCAGCTGATGGATGTTTCTCTCTCATTGATGTTTCTGATTCTCTATCCTTCTTCCTTCCTCTCTGTAAAAACTCAATAAAACGTATTTTAAAAAGAATATGGAGTATATTCTTAAGTGAAATAATTATGAACTTCAGAAGAAACAAAAGTTGTGCAAGAAAGGAAATGTGATCAGATGATCCTACTTGGGTCAGCATTTACCACTGTTGATGCAACCATAGCTGATACACATTCTGAAGTATGATTTACATAGAAATTGTTGTAGACTCAGTTGGAAGATTGTACCTCATCTACAGGATAGAACTAAATAATGTCAACAATTGGTAAAGATATACCCATTTATGTGTGCATTATCCAGAAATTCAGATGTCAATCCTGGAAGAAACAGCTAGTAAACAGAGAGTGGTTTCTCTAAAGAGCAGGAGTGGCTTTTCCTGGGCTCACAAGACTTGAAGTTGCATGCATTATTACTTCCATCATTTATTTTACCTCATGTCAGTCATGTTCATTTAGAAGGGGAAATCCCAGAAAATTTTGCAACTGATCATCAGGAAGTCTTTACCTATCACAGCCTTAGAAGCAAAATTTGCTTCAAATATTATGTGTGAAAATATACCAAAATCCCAACTCCTTATATGCCAAAGAGAATGATTAACCGACAAAGGGCACATCCATATTTTGGAATTCTCCACCCTTGCTGAGTTCCACGGGAATAGCAAGGATTGGATAAAGCCCACAGGCACGGGGAAGTGGGAAAAGCCCTGCGCAGTGCAGTGCGGTATTGTAAATGTGCACATACGCAGGGCACACCCAACAGGAAACCTCTTCTGTCCACTTGACCTGGACACAGGGTCCCATCCTGGGTGTGTCTGGGAGGGCGTTTTCCAGGAGAGGAACATTTGAATTGGGAAAGCAGACTGCTCTCCCCAAGGGGGTGGCCTCTCCCACCAGCTGAAGCCCTGCACGAACCAGAGGCTGAGCCCCTGCCAGTCCAGAGAGTTTTTCCTGCCTGACCCCTCCACAGGGGACACTGGCCTCTTCCTGCCTCTGGACTCAGGGAAACATCGCCCCCCGGGTGTGTGGCCTGCTGCCTGGGTCACTCCGCCACCCATGGGCTCCCTGGGCCTCCAGCTGCCTGCTCCCCGCAGGACCTGGGTCTTGTCAGCCTCCATGATCACAGGAGCCAATTCCCTGTAATAAATCCGTGTGTGTGTGTGTGTGTGTGTGTGTGTGTGTGTGTGTTTAAAACATTTTTCATTAAGTGTATGTAGTACTTTTGTAATAAGAATAAAAGAAAAAAAATTCGTTGCTTAAGGCCCTTCTAAGACTGGCTGTAGGACGGTCTCGGAGCATGCAGCTGCCCACTGCGGACATGGCGGGGCCACCTGAGCTGGACTCCGTCTACATCTGTCTGGGTCGGAAAGAGGCCGCCGCGCTGAGCACAGCAGGAAAGTGAGCCCCAACGCCCCCCTCTCAGCAAACGTTCTCCAGCGCCTTGCAGCCCACGCCACAGCTCCCGGGCTGAGGGAATGGGGTGCCCTGAAGCCTCTTCTGGAGGAGACCCCAATGCAGGGCAAGTGCTTCCTCCAGGGCCCCTCAGGCTGTGGGCAGCCCCTCCGGCCCCAGCCCGCCAGCTCCTCCCCGCACCCCCAGCCCCAGGCCTTCCTTCCACTGAATGCCACTGCTCCAGGCTCTCCCCTCCCCTCCCTGATCCGGGTCCCTCAGGATGGGGACCCAGGAGCCGCTGTCTGGGACTAAACTTTCTCCCAGACGCTCTGCACTCCCCCTTCTTTGCACCCTGCATGTCCCAGTTCCCAATAACCGGTCCACACACAGTGTCAGCATTGGTTTCTCTTTTCCTGCTCCACAGAGGAGGCCGGGAAGTGAAAACCCTCACAGTGAGCGGCAGAAGGAGGTGGGATCTGTGCCCCCCGGGTCTGAGATTCTTAAACCACTTTGTTCTGTCTTCCCTCAAGGCCTCCCAACTCTTCTTCCTTCCTTCCCAATCCCCACAGAGAAGCTGGGAGCAGGGTAGGGGTGGGGTGCGGGTGGAGACTGCTGGGGTCAGGGCTCCTGGTCGGGGATTTTCAGCTTCAGCTCGCAGGCCCACTGCTGCACCCGCCCGCAGTCATCATCGTTCCAGCGCCCGTCCTCCCGGACCTCGGCACAGTCTTCATCCGCGTCATCTTCGTTCCCCTTCCAGTTGTTGGGCTGACCGGCACCCCAGTTCCTAGAAATGCAAGACAGAGCTCAGGCTCTGACCACCCCAGCCCAGCACCCCTCCCCCCACCTCAGAAAAGCAGAGCCTTGGAGGGTTCAGGGAGCAGAGGCTGCAGCCTGGGAGGCTAGAGGGGTGAGGGCTGGGGAATGGGGTCGCTCAGGTGGGTGGGGTGGGGAGGAGGCACTTACTTGTAGCTGTTCCGATAGTCTGTGCCATCCACCCACTTCCAGGAGCCGCCACCCTCAACGAGACCGATCCAGGTGTGAAATGGGGTCGAGTGCTGTGCGATGAAGTTCTGGAAAACAGGAGGAATAGAGAGTCTAGTCCTTGTCTCCGTGCAGGCATTAGCTGTGGGCCTCAGCCTGCCCAGCCTGGTCTGCCCCAAGGTGAAGCACCAGCTCCCAGCAAAATGAGGGCCTCACTTTTCCTTGGTAGCCTTAGGTATTGTTTGGAGATAATATAGTGGGCTAAAGCCCATGCTGTGTGCTTCATGGGTTTTATTTTATTTAGCCCTCAGAAGCTCTCTAATGCTTCTGATCTGAGGACCTTGTGGTGGTTGGTAGAGCCCCAAGAGCCAGTGCAGTGCTGTATGTGACGCTGCCCCCATCCCGCCCCCACTTCATTCTGAACGCCCGGCTGCTGCCTGGACTCCAGTCCTCTCCTTGTCTTCTGCCCACAACCTCAAACCTGGATCCTGACTCTGGCCCCTGTGCCAGCTGCCCCCAGGGAGCCATTGGTGTCACCTGCCCCTTGGGGGCATCTGCCCTGCTCCTGCCTCTGTGAAGCTGTCCTCTCCAGAGGATCACTGGGTCCTGGGGCTTCCATTTGGACCCACTGCCCGGAGCCCCAGGATGACTTAGCTACAAGGGGACTGGCGGTTGGTGCTGAAAATTGGAGGCTGCCCTGGTACGAGGGAGAGTGTGGAGAAAGCAGATGGATGGTTGACCAACATCCACACCCGTCAGTCAGTTCCCTTTGGCAGTGTGTTTAGGGTCTCCAACGGCAGTTGGGGTGAAATTCCTAATTCTACTCTCATCTGGAGACACAGCTAAGATGACAACCAGTCACCTCCTCAGAGGGCAGACACGGGAGCATCCAGGAATCCTAGAATCCTGCACATTGGATAAAGTCCTGTGCATGATGGAGTATCCTGAGAGTGTGTTCCCAAATTGGGAGGAGTCAGCACAAGTGAGGCAAAGTGTCTGGAGACAAGATCTTCTAGGTGCTGCTGCTGCTGCTGTCCTGGTCACCTCTGCCCATCAGGACCAGCAGCTGAATAACGGGACTAAATCATCAAAACCCAGGCCTCCGTGTCAAAGAGTGATGGGAAGAATCAAATAGTGCCAGGTGACCAGAGAAGGCAGCCCAGGAGAATTCACTTCCCAACTCATGGTAAATCACAGGCAAGAAAGAACGGTGCCCGTTCATAAAAGTGGCAGAGGTGCCAATGATCATGGAACTTACGCAAGAATAAAGAAGAGGAAGAGGAAGAAGAGGAGGAGGAAAAAAAGAACTGTGATATTAAAAAGAGAGGTGAAAAATATACTTTGAATGAAAGGCATGTATTTTTAAAAATATATTTCTTTATTGACTTCAGAGAGGAAGGGAGAAGGAGAGAGATATAGAAACATCAGTGATGAGAGAGAATCATTTGATTCGGCTGCCTCCTGCACACTCCCCTACTGGGGATCGAGCCTGCAACCCAGGCATGTGCTCTTGGCTGGAATCGAACCTGAGACCCTTCAGTCCGCAGGCTGACGCTCTATCCACTGAGCCAAGCCGGCTATGGCAAAAGGCATATTTTAGAACAGAGAGTGATGTTGGAGAACAACTTTTTTAACGGCCTCAAAAAAATTAAAAGAGACGAATGCCATAAAATATCAAGGAGGATATTTAAAAAGAAAGACCTCATGCCGAAACCGGTTTGGCTCAGTGGTAGAGCATCGGTCTGGTCTGCGGACTGAAAGGTCCCAGGTTCAATTCCGGTCAAAGGCATGTACCTTGGTTGTGGGCACATCCCCAGTGTGCCCCGGTGTGCAGCTTGTCGATGTTTCTCTCTCATCGACGTTTCTAGCTTTCTATTTCTCTCCCTTCCTCTCTGTAAAAAATCAATAAAATATATATATATATATATATATATATATATTTTTTTTTTTTAAAAAGGAAAGACCTCACAATATAAGAAGTAAAGAGAATAAATGCAAGAGAAAATTTTAGATATATAAAACAACCCAGGAACTCAACAGGGAACCAAGACCGAGACAGGAAAGACGGGCCTGGGAAAAGGACCCAGAATGCAGAAGGAAAGAGCAAGATGGAAAGAACGGCAGCAAGATGGTGGCTGTGGAGGCAGAGAGTGGGCATGCTTGTGGGTGACATGTCCCAGAGAAAAAGAGAACCAGTGGACAAGAAAAAAAAAAAATGTCCACATACATGACTCCAGAAAGTCTTCTCAAAAGTTAGAAAACCCAAGTTTACCCATTAAAAGGATTCTCCTGGCTTTAGAGCAAACGTATAGCATGAGCAACCAAGTTATATATCTGGATGAGATTTACAAAATTAAAGATAGAAAACAGTCCAACTCTTCAGGCAAAAACATTTAGGGAATCGAGGAGAGAAAAGAATGAGCCTTATAAACGTCCAAGTTACCATTCACTGTTCTCAACACAGAAAAGAAATGATAATTATGTGACAAGAGAAAGGGGATAGCTAACTCTACTGTAGTAATCATATCACCATCTGTAAATGTGCCAAACCAAAGTGTGTAACCTCTAATTTATCCAATGTTATATGTCGGTTAAATCTCAATTTAAAAAAAGAAAGAATGGGGTGTGTGAATAAATGTGCCAGTTTCCTCATCTTTCATATGGAAAGTTACATAAACTCCTTGTTTTTTTTGAAGCCTATAATTTTCAGCCCATCACTGACAGTTATAAAAGGAATCATTTATATAACTCAGAATAAGCTACATCTAGTTCAAAATACCACAGGGAAAGAAGACAAAAAGAATACAACTCACACTACAAATGTAAACAGGAAAAAAAAAAAAGACAGATTAAGCATAGCTATTAGAAATAAAGGAGATGCACATCTGTTAAAAGACTCATTCAGTTAAAAAAATAAAAATAAAAAACTTAAGCACAACCTATAGGAAAAATACCTTAAAGTTGGCTGCACAGAGGCACCAGTTGGGGTAACTTTTAAAAATCGTAATGCTCTGCCCTAACCAGTTTGGCTCAGTGGATAGAGTGTCGGCCTGTGGACTGAAAGGTCCCAGGTTCGATTCCGGCCAAGAGCATGTACCTTGGTTGTGGGCACATCCCCAGTAAGAGGTATGCAGGAGGCAGCTGATCGATGTTTCTCTCTCATTGATGTTTCTAACTCTCTATCCCTCTCCCTTCCTCTCTGTAAAAAAGCAACAAAATAAGGGGGGGGGGGCAATGTTAAAATATGTACACAGATAATAATTTAATAAAAAAAAATGTAAAAAAAAAACCCAAACAACAAAATATATTTAAAAAAAAAATAAATTGTAATGCTCCAGAGGAGCCCAGGGTTAATGAAATCAGGATCTTTAAACTTGGCAAGTATAAAGGCGTGTAATCCAGAGCCAAGGCTTCTGTGAAGCCTTAATCACAGGTTGGAAACGAGAAGATGGGCTGAGTTACATCCAGCCAATGCGAGGGACCAGAAATCAAGGTTTTTCTATTTGTATCCCATGAAAATGAATTCAAGGCAAGAGCATTAGAGCGGACACTGACATTCACTCCGAATGACGAAGGGACAGGTCCGCCTTGAAGTTGTATCATCAAGAACGTGGGCGCCAGCTCACCGAGCTCTGACGTCTTGGGTTGGCCCACGTGAAACCGACATTTGTGTCGGTCCAAATGGATCGAAACAGGCGGTTTCCTTCTGGTTGGAAAAGCCAAATAGGCTTGTGATTATTCCGGCAGCAGGTGGCAGTGAAAACACAGGCGTAGGAGGCAGAGTGGCTCTGAAGCCTGGCTCCGTCCTGACTTGCTAGCTGCCTGGCGAGTCCCTTAGCCTCCCTGTTCCTCAGGTCCCTCCTTTCTCCCTTCCTCACAGTGGGGATGGTACGAGGACCTGCCTTGTAGGGTTGTGAGGATTACGGAAGTGAATGTATATGAACGTGCCTGTCACATAGTAAGGTCTCAGTAAATGTTACCATGAGTAGCCTGTGTGTGTGTGTGTCTGTGTGTGTGTGTGTGTGTGTGTGTGTGTGTGTGTGTGTGTGTGTTAAAGCCCCACCTATTCTAAGAGGCTGGCTCTTCCCTGTGGACATTGGTGTTTGGGGTTGTGGTGTGGAAGTGGCACTGGGCAGGTGAGACCTGGACAGTTTTGGAGGGACCCAGGAACCCCATGTCCCTGGGAATCCCTCCCACTCTGCTCCTCTCACCCAGCTGGCCACCACAGTGAGAGGGGCTCTCAGTGTCTCCACCCCCTCTCCCGCACGCCCCCCCCCCTAAACTCTGTACCCAGTCCTGCCTCTATTTAGTTCATCTCACCCTGCTCCCCTGGCTCCTGCCCTCTGCCCGAGCTCCTGGCTGTAACCCGGCCTCTTAGCTCAGGGCTGCTCCGCTATGACCCGCCCGGCGTCCTGCCAGCCTGCGGCTTCTGGGCTCTTCCCCGGCTTAAAAAATAATAAAGCGGTGGACACAGCCGCCCAGGGTTTGCATCCCAGGCGTCACCTGCTCCTCTCTGGAGTTGATGACCACCAGGTGGGCGTTCTGCAGCTGGCAGGACTTCTCAGCCCCGGACCAGGTCGATCGAGCGCGGGAAAACCAGTAGCAGCTGCCGTCATGCTCCAGCCAGGCAACGGGGCAGCAGGCATCTTGGGAGTCTGCAGTGGGAGTGGGGAGGTTCTGAGATGCTGCCCAGGGACACATGGGCAGGATGTGGGGCCAGGCGCTGCCCCACACACCACTCACCATTGCTCAAGAGCACAGCCACCTGACAGTGCAGGGTGTGCAGGTCTTTGACCAGCTGCTGGACTCTCAGGAGCATTTCAGAATAACCTGGGACACACAGAGGGCAGTGGGAACAATGCAGGGGGCCAGCTGAGGGCCCCCCATGCCCTCCCACCACATCAAACCCAGGGGCAGGGAGAAGGGGCCTGACCTGCTTGGAGTTCCTTCTGCTCCTTCTCCAGCTTGCTCTCCAGAGAAAACACCTTGTCATTCAAGCTGCGGGCTGGAGGGGAGGGCACTCAGCACCCTGGCTGCTCCCACCCCACCTCTGTCCTGAGAGCCCAGCTCCCACCCTTGCACACTCACTCCTGGAGGAGCCTCTCACCTGCCTGCAGTTCCTGCTCCTGGTTTTCCACCACAGCTTTCAGAGATGTTACTGTTGCTTGCAAACTGCATCCTGGAGGTCATGGGGGCTCAGTGTTCAGGATTCAGCTCCCCTCTCCCCACCATGACCCCTCCAAACCAGAGCCCCTTCCAGCCAGGCTCACCCTGGGAGTGCAGTGCCTGGACCTCAGCCTCCGTGTTGGAAGTGAAGTTGCTGAAAGTTGCTCTCAGGGTCTCCAGGTCCCTCCGCATATTGGCACCTGGTCAGACAGGTGGGACCATGAGTGCTACTCTCAGCCAGTCCTCTCTGTGTTGGCACTGAGCAGGGCACTGGACATACATTGGCTCATTGGGTCCTCACAGCCACCCAACTTGAAGGGACAGGCTCTGTAGTTATCCAAGCTTGCAGAAGAGGACACTCAGGCACTTGGACTACATTACCCATGAGTAAGTAACAGAGCCAGCAGCCATCTTTACCCACCATGATCATCATCAGTGCCTGGATTACCGTACCCACTATGGCCCCCTTCCCTGCCCGTCCCATGACTCTCACCTTTGGATCCAATTATCCAGATATCCACCAGCAGGAAGAGGCCGAAGCCCAGGAAGAGCAGGAGGAGGCAGGGTCCAATGCAGAGACGCTTGAGGAAGGCTTGGGGAGGACACAGCCCTGCAAGGGGAGAGGACAACAGGAGCTGGAGGTCCAGGACAGGAGAGACACAGGGAGGAGGAGAGGGCCCAGGGGATATGCCAGGGATGGAGGTGGGTGCAAATAAAGCTGGGGGAGGCTTGTGGTTCAGGGAATTCCCAGGCCTCTGACCCTTCCTGAACCAGTATAGGTCCTCAGTCACATGGGCCCCCACCCCTACAAGAACACATGATGGCAGCATGTGGGAGAGGGGGCAGGAGGACACAGAGTGAGTTGGGGCAACCAGGCCCTCAGCAGACTCATGCTTGTCTGTATTGTCAGGTTAGTGCATGCTTTCCTTTCCAAATACAACTGTTCATTCTCCCCCAGTGCAAACACTCATGCCTTCCCAGAGAGTAGTGGCCACCAGGCTGCTGTATTCCTCTCTGACCCTGTCTTTCTGGGGACCTTGAATCCTCTTCATACTGGAGCCCCCAGGGTATGGGGTTCTGACCCCCTCAGAAGGGGGGACCCCAGCAGTGCACACGGTAGAGGTGCAGATACGCTGTGACTGCAGAAATCCTTATAAGCCCATTGAGAGGGTATTATAGGAGAAACCCTTTCTCCTTTCTTCTTACCATTGTTAATCCCCTGGCTTCTCTCCTCACTCTCAAAGGACCGGAGGTTTTTATACTTCATTGACATCCTTGGACCAACGCTGAGGCTGCCCGAGCTGAAATGGAGGCAGGGCTAGTGACCAGCTAGGCTGGAGACAGGAGACAGGGGAGGCTGGGACTAGGTTGGAGCTGAGGTAAGAGAAGACGTTCAGGCTGAGGATGAACCAGGGGTTAGGGATACGAATGGGAATGGGCCCGGGTGTGCAGCAGAGGTTGGAAGTGAGGTCAGGCTTGGTCTTTGGACTGGGGATGACTTGAATGTGAGATTGAAGGTAAAGGCAAAGTTGGAGCTAGAGGTATTCCTAGGCCTGGGTCTGACATTGGGGATGCAATTAAGGTGGCATCTCCTCCTCGGACCCGGGTCAATACTCCTGTGGATGCCATGGGTGGTGCAGGGCCTAAGCTCGGCCCAGAAGTTGGAAATAGAAGAGTTGAAGCTCAACTTGGGGTTGGGGTTGATGTTAAGACTGTGGTTGGGGGTTAAAGGAGTAATTGGTGTTTGTAATGGGGTGAGGGTTGGAGGTGGCGCTGGAAATGGGCTGCAGATGGAGCTCAAGTGTGAGTCTCAGTCTGTGACCGAGGTTTGGCAGCCAGCGTTCAATCCGAACCCAGCTGAGTGAATAGAGTCTAAAGTCTACATCAGGTCATTGAGTCTCCAAGATGCCCTTTTATATCTCTTCCTATTCAGCCCCCCTTCAGACCCACAGCCCCCTCTCCCTGCTTTCTCTAACTCCCTCCCAGTCCCCTTGGTCTCACCTGCATCCCCAGGTTACCTGTGCAAAGTCTGGAGGCTGCGATTCTTGGGTTGGCTGCACAGCAATGAGTCGAGTTGGGTAAAACAAAATCCTGGAGAAGGGGGTGGAGGTGCCCGAGGAGGAGTCAGGTCAGCGGCTGGAGTCCTGCTGGCCTCTGTGTCTGAAAGCCCAGGAGTCTGTCACCTGGGACCTCCCGTTTCCTCCGCTTTGGGCAGTAAGCAATAATCGGATCACAAGCTGAGACTGCGTGTTTGGGGTGTTAGATCCCGAGAGCCAGCTTTGCTGTCCTCCTCCAGGATGTGTCTCCTCCCTTTCCGCTTCTTTTCAGCTTTTCTGACTTCTTCATTTTTGGTGTTTGGGAGAGGAGTCCTCTGACACCCTCCCTTCGCTTCCTGCATATGATTTCCTGGAGTTGTTGGCGTCTCCATCATGGCAAACCCAGGCCAGCCCTTGTTCAGTCGTGGCCTAAGTTGCTGGTGTCTGACCTTTCTCTGGGATCTTAGCTACCAAGCTTCCCCAGCTCTTGCCTAGCTCTCTTCCCTCCACTCAACTGGAGGGAAGAAAGTGAAGAAGAGCAGGATTCTTGGCCAGATTGGGAGCGGAGGAGCTGAGGAAAGGGACAGACTTTATTGATTATCAAATTTCTGATGGGGATTGTGCCAGACATTTGAAAATTCACCATTTAGTTCCTATCATAATCATGGGAGGCACGCTGGGTGATTAGTATTGTAAAAGTAAAGCTGACCTTGTGGACCCCTGACAAGGTCTCAGGGAGTTCATAGTCCACACACTGAGAGCCTTGGTGTAAAATAAGTAATGTTTTATAATGACATTTTATTCAGCCATATTGACGACAAGTTATTTTTGTTAATTCTACAAGTTTTTAAAAATACCAGCTTCTTGCCAAAACCAGTTTGGCTCAGTGGATAGTGTCGGCCTGTGAACTGAAAGGTCCTAGGTTCGATTCTGGTCAAAAGCATGTACCTTGGTTGCGGTCACATCCCCAATGGGGGGTGTGCAGGAGGCAGCTGATCGATGTCTCTCTCTCATTGATGTTTCTAGCTCTCTATCCTTCTCCCTTCCTCTCTGTAAAAAATCAATAAAATATATTTAAAAAGAAAAGAAAGGGGAAATATTTACATTAAAAAAAATACCAGCCAGCTGTCAGGCTGGGAGCGGCCAGGCCCGGAGCCGCCGGGCCCAGAGCAGCCGGGTCGGGTGCGGTCAGGCCTGGAGCAGCAGCAGCCATGCCTGGAGCAGCCAGGTCAGGAGCGGCAGTGGCCAGACCCGGAGCAGCCAGGTCGGGAGCGGCAGTGGCCAGACCCGGAGCAGCTGGTTGTGGAATGGACCAGAGCAACAGAGGCCAGGCCTGGAGCAACCAGGCCCAGAACAGCTCGCTCCTCGCCTGCCTCTGCCCCAAGGCTGCCTCTCAGACATGGCTGGAAACTTTTGGGGGAACTTGAGGGTCTGCTGAATCAAATGATGAAGGCTTAGATCTGGATTTGTTGAGTTAATATAGCACTGGGGTGTTGATCTGTGAGTGCCTTGGGTGGGGCCTGGATGAGGCTGGTGGACCTATTTATCCTTGGGCATGTGGAGGTATTATTGATTTGAGAAAATGTTAAGTAACTGATTTACTATCTGATAAATGTAAAGTTCTGAAAGTTTAAGGTCTCTTGCCAAAAAGAGGTTTTAAAGCTATCACCTTAATTTTATGGAGAAAGGGAATGACAAGCCCTTCCCACCCAGAACAGGTAATCCAATTCCAACCAGCAGCTATGTTTAAACAATGTGTCCATTTACACTTGAATGGCTACACCTTTTGATAGCCGAAGGGCAAGTTTATATGTAAACAAGTTTGCTCTCAATTCCCAGGGCAGAAAAAAAAACACAAGGTTTAAAATTATTAGATTTTAAAATTTATTCTTAGAAGTGTAAAAGTTTACTAATTAAAAAAAGCAACAACAACAACAACAAAAAAAGGAGATTGAAAAACCTGATGAACAATAATAGCGGTTCATTGTAGTAGAGTCGGCGATATGGGAGGGGAGTGGACTGACTGTTGGGGGGGGGGGGAGAGACTGAACATAAACTGTGCACCTATGGATGAGGACAAAGGGGGGTGAGGAGGGGGCGGAGGGTGGGGTGGGAACCTGGTGGAAGGGGGAAGAAATGAGGAACCTTTGTAATAATATGAACAATAAAGATTGATTTAAAAAAATAAAAAATTAAAAATAAAAAAAATAAAAATAAAATGGAAAAAAAAATACCAGCTTCTTGCATCTTAAGGTGTCAATGATTAGAGAAAATTATGTCAAAATATTTTCTTTCATGTATTATATTTTCTTACTCATACATTATATTTTTAAAGTCAGTTGAAATGTATTTAACTCATGCCTACTGAAAGGTCCCGGGTTCGATTCTGGTCAAGGGCATGTACATTGGTTGCGGGCACATCCCTGGTAGGGGGTGTGCAAGAGGCAGCTGGTAGATGTTTCTCTCTCATTGATGTTTCTAACTCTCTATCCCTCTCCCTTCCTCTCTGTAAAAAATCAATAAAATATATTTTAAAAAAAGAAAAGAAAAGAAATGTATTTAACTCATTAATGAGGGTGTCAACAGCATGGTCCCACGCTGGCTCTTCTATGCATTTGTTATCCAAAGTTATACCAGACTCTCTTCTGAAAAAGGATTTTGGTTCAAAGAGGATCAAACGGCTCTTGGGCGATCATGTAAAGCTTTCCAAGTTACTTCTGGAAACCAAGACTCTTAGGTAAGGAGGAGATGAGATGGAGAAAAGAATGGGGTGACACTCTACTAGTTTGAACCTCTCTTAGGGTCCTACATTAGAAGGACTTTTGGATGATAAGCTACAGGAGATCTCTGGGTTTAAGTGATGCAGCAAGACCATTCCTTAGACAAGGGTGTCTCACATGGCCCATTATGGGTTGAACTGTGTCCTCTAAAAAAATATGTTGAAGTCCTTAACCCCAGGACCTGTGAATGTCACTTCTGGAAACAGGGTAGTTGCAGGTATAATTAGTTGAGGTCATACTAGAGTAGGGTGGGCCTTTACTCCAATATGACTGGGGTCCACAGGAGAGGAGACACAGACACACAAGGGAGAAAGCCATGTGACTATGGAGGCAGACTCAAGTGCTGCAGCTGCAAACCAAAGGATGTCAAGGGTCGCCCCAACACCACTGGAAGCTAGGGAGATGCAAAAAGGGGCTCTGCCCTTCAGGCTTCAGAGGGAGCAGAGCCTTGTGATTTCAGACTTCCAGCTTCCAGAAGTGCGAGACCACGCATTTCTGTTGCTTTTGTGGACTTCTGTTAAGGCAGCCCTGGAAAACCAATGTGTGACTCAACGGCAGGGAAGTGGCTGAAGTCCTGAGACAGACTGGAAAGGGTGAGCTGGACCCCTGAGGGTCACCATTGTAAGGTTTGAGGCGCAGGAAACGAGCCAGAGACCATCAAGACTTATTAAAGGAAGGTGTATTCCTCAGTAATGAGTCCCGTAGAGAAATCAGAATTAAAGGAGGGGGGAGAGGAGAAAGGACTCAACCGGGCTGACTCCACAGATGGAGATGGAGAGCAGCAGCACGTGGAGGGCTGGGGGAGCTTTTTGAGGGGAGAAAAAGGAAAGGGTTTGACCCAGGGCAGAACAGGAAGGAGTGGGCTCCAGGGCACTTCGGCACGAGCTGATTGGTGGTCTTGGGAATGTCTCTGTGGAGATACCAGTAATGTCATAACTCTGCCCACCAGTTGGGGGGAGGCAGGATCTCACAACCATTTGCTTTATTCCTCTTTCTCACTGAAGATCATCATGTTCTCCTCGTTGGCCAACACTCTACTCTCCAGGGTCATTTCCACTTCCTTCCTCCTGGATGAAAAAAGAACGATATGTACTAGGAAAGGAGGAATCCTGCTTGCTGCCTTCTTGCCGTGGATGTCTCCTTGTTGAGGACATGAAGTTTGGAGCAGTGGCAGTTGTCCCATGTCTATGAAGGGAAAGCCAAGAGTATAGAGTCTATTTAACTGCCGTGGCAGTGTGAATGCACTATGACCCTTTGGGGGAAGGCAGAGAGCTGGGTGTTTAGAGGACCCAACACCAGCTTAATGCTGTCCCCTGAGTACCGTGCTCTGCACACCCTGCTTCTCATCTGGAATGAAGATATTCACTTCTCTTAGAGTTAACCTACTTGTAATTTAGGTGGGAGGTGAAGGACCAGAATCCGAACAGAATCTGAAGAAAATGTATGAATCATTGTCT